TCTTACCACAGTCTCTCTCTTGCCCCGTAAGATCCGTCTGCCCTCTCTCTGGTTCACATATTTCACTCAGCTATAATTTCTGAATTATAAAGATAGGAATCATAATTTCTTTAGTATATATTATTTAGATAAATATGTTTTATTTGATATTGCCGACTTTATTGATGAACCACCTGAGGCATTTGTCTACATGGACTATGCGTCAAAACCTAACAACATTTCCATACTTACCAGTCCACTGCTTGGGATCCTTTGAGAAAATTTATATGAATTCTTCACGGTGTTCGAGAGTCTGTAATTTACTTTTTTAAACTCCAGGCGAATGAATTTCGCTACCATGTGTACTGCTCAATGCCTGCTGTTGACTATTAATCATAGGGGTTTTCCTTCCTTCCTTCTGTATCTTCATAGTCCGTATGCTGTCGGTGGTCTTGTATGATTTTTTACTAAAGCATGCATCACATATAGATCGATTTCTTCGTTGTTATGCATTTCCTTCTACATATTCTCCAGTAATCTGCTGTTCTTCATTGTTGGATCATGTCTTAGTATTTGCTATGTTCCGGTCGCCTTGGATACTTTCCTTTTTCTCCGTGTACTGTTGCCTGTCCATTACCACCGTTGCTACTTTATCCTCCTGAAGAACTATTTGGTTATTCATTTGTAATTTACTGTGTATCCTCATCAATTCACTCCTTTTTATTGGCTTTTGATGTGCCATGATTCTCAGGATTAATTCCATTTCCATCTCCCGTTTGGTATCTTCCGGGTATTTCTCCGAATCTTTATAGCCTCTACAAGAATATCTTCACAAATCTTTTCTTCGTTACCTAGTGAAAAATATAACTGCAAATTATCATGCATACTATGAACTCAGGAAAAGATGGGTGCCTTTGAATCTTCTTGTTAATATGGCCAGGTTGCGAAGACAAGATCAAACGTATATCCAGCGAAAGGAGACTGCGACTATACTAAAGGTCTTCTTCTTGGTATCCATATCTACGATTTCTAAATTACGGTTTAATTATAGCGTTTTTAGCTCCATTCTTCGTCTCCAAATCTTTCCATTTAATCAGGTGCATCACCCGTGGTGATTCAAGTGCCACCTGGCTATCTCGCCCATCCGGCTGGCCATCTAATGCTGCAATATCACGCCTTATTTGCCTTAGAGCGACGTGAGTGGCATCTGCTTCGTGCCTTGCTTAAGGCTGCGGCTACTGCGGCGCAACAACAGGCTCGTGCCAGCCGAGCAGCGGCCAGAGCAGCTGCTGTAGCGGCGGCGATCCCAGCTGCAACATCGGAAACAGTGTCTACAACTACGATTTCAGCATCATCCGTGATGCCAGAAGGCAAAGAAATAGAGAAAGAAGTATCTAGCGAAGCGGAGGTTAGTTAGAAGTTTGGACTCTTCATTAATTCCTGTCCAGACTATGACTAATGCATAAATTATGCTAATGTGTTTAAAATCTAAATGCTGAGAGCTTGCATGATTGTAGGGGAATCTCACTTTCGGGTATAAGAAGATATGATGAGTTTATATGAGATTTGCTTACTGTTTTGATGTGTATGTTTTGCCTACTATAACTTTCGATATATAGATGGAGAATTAATTAATATATATTTCGTTTATGAGTAGGTTTCGGGACTATCAGTGATATGGGAAAGGCCTGATCGTTCTTGAAACTCACTTCTACCTCCTTACTCAATGACACTCGGCAGTTTGGCGTAATGGCTAACGTGTCGAAACTATACTCTTTATTACCCGGGTTCGAGTTCCGCTGAGGGTTCCGATGAGGCTTAGGTGAGGTCGAGACTTGCCTGGATGATAATACTTTTTGAGAAGCAAGGTTAAGTGAAATTTAATGGAAAATTAAGCCCTATTCATATCTTTGTGGGAAAATTTAATTATCGGTACTTCGTTGCCTTAACGAAATAGGGTGAATACATCTTATATATTGATTAGCATACTTTATCAGTGGTCTTTCCAATCGGATACTCGTAAACATTCAAACAATTAGAATTCACTTTATTTGCCAAGCCGTGGGTCCTGATAAATTGTTTTTTATTTATTTTCCTGGAGATTCAGTGACAGCCTTACACATGCTGGGTTATTTCGGCAGAGTGTATAATTGTGATAAAATGTAAACTGTTGCTTGAAAAGTAGGAACCTAAAAAATTCCATTTATTGGTATCTTTTAGTCTTATTGACAAATCGCATTTGATTCATAAAATATACTTGCTTCATTTATCCTGCATTATTCAGCTCAATTGGAATGAATGAGGGCATTGAAGAATATCATATCTAAGGGGGGACTAAATATTTCCTATTTTTATCTGATTCACGGATTCATCTCTATCTTGTAGCCACTGGCATATTAGCTCACTCGAGTTACAAATTGTAAAATATCTGGATAGAGCTTCCAAATGCTTTGGTTTTCCAAGTTGGATTTTCGTAAGCTAGGACTGGGCCACTTACGCAAACTCTTTAGTAAATGGGTTATGTGAAGTAATTTTGTTTTCTCATTCTGCACTCGTGTTAGATGGTTTGCCATTTAATAGTTTTCCCTTATGTACTCTTCTAATTTAACGATGTTAGGGGCTAATTATACAAACAAACTTATATTTGAATATTATAATCTGTTACACGTAAACCCCTATCTATCCTTCAATTTAAGGACTCCGATTTGACTGCTTCAAATGATGATAACGATGACGAAGATTCAGCAAATGCTGGCAGCAGCAGACATGCTCGTTTAAGCAAGAGAAGGCGTCGTGAACTAGAAAGAAATAGACAAAGACGCAGGAAAGAACGGCAATTAGAGCGAAAATTAAAGCGTCAGCTTGAAAAGGAAAGGGAATCAGAGTTAAAACGCGAGAGAGAGCGAGAGAGGGAACATGAGGAAAGGGAGCAAATTAAGGCTTCACCTCAATTGGTCTTTCGTTGGCGGCCTGAGGTTATGCAAGTAAGTGATCATGTATTTATTCCAAACTTATACAATTATCCATTACATCCTTTTTAATATAGTCTAAATGTGGTGCTTCTAGTTTAAGTAAGCCATTATACTAATTTATATCCATTTCTAGACGGATTGCTACCTTGTAATGTACTTTTATGCCTCTTATTCCATTTGTTTTAGGCCCTCGCGCTTGGTATTGCCAGTCTACCGCAGTCCAATTCTCGTGACACTAATTTTGTCAGAAGCGGAGAAGAGGGTTCCTCATCTGATAACCAAAGTTCAAGTTCTACATCGGCAGGAAGTGGTGTGGACGTCAAATCTTCAGTGAATAACCCTGGCGGGGGTACTTCTTCTAGTTGCATCAGTGGAGCAGGATCAGCAGGGTCTGCTGTCAGCGGGAGAAGTGGTTTTACCGGCGGGGTAATGAGCGCCGTTGGAATTGGAGGCATGGGAAACGCTGCCATTATCGGTGGACTTGATTCTACAGCTTTAAATGCTGTTGGAGGAAGTAGTGGTAGCAGCAGCAGCTCCTCAGTTGGTTGTGGCTCAGTTGCTAGTGGCGTCGGAGGACTTTCCTTTGTCTTGCCTTTCAGATCCGGAGATTCAGCCAACGATCTTTCCATGGCCGGAGATACCGGTTTTTATAATCCAATCGGACCTAACTGGCAATCGTATTCCTCTGTTGGTCAGTTATTGATGACGTTCTCGTATCTTTTTGCCCTGGTTATCTTATATTTATGATTTCTCTTACTTGGTATATCTTTTTGCTCTAATTAGTTATGACCTTTCACTTTGCATCTATCCAATCTTTTAGATTTTTCCTCCGGTTTATACATTGTGATCCCACTCACTTCTTTCTTACCCCGGGTTTCACTTGACTTTTTTTGAAAATTCATTTGCGCAATTTAACGTTGATGATTAAAATCCACATTTCAGTCAATTTATCTCTTTGTCTGTCTGTTTATTTTGTTTATTTATTTGTATGGCCTTTTTGAGTCTTACTCTTTTTCCTTAAATCTGATTTGGTTTCAAATAGGCCTTTTTCATTTTCTTTTATTTTGCCAAAAAAATTACTGTTATCTACTTAATAAGCCACGTGAGCTTCGAGATTTGTAAATCTGATGGTGATAAAACAGTATTATGGGGACTTTCATTTCGTATCAAATTGCATGAAGAAGAGATTCGTAGGTCGATCTCATCAGAAGGGGACGGATGGATCCCGTTGTACTGTAGCCGTTTGGCTTTTATACGACGTTCAGGTCGACGCAACCACGAGGCCTCCCTCGTTTTTGGGGAAAACTGGCTGAGCCTTCGTCCATCACCGGCCGTCTTCTTCTGATGAGATCGGCCTACAAATCTCTTCTTCATGCACTTTCATACGAAATGGAAGTCACCTCAATAAGGTAATCTTAGGAGATTCATATAAACCTGGTTTCTCTTCGTATCTACCATAAAACAGAAATAATTAATATGTAAGTAGGGTTTAGAGAAACGTCAGCTCAACTCATAGCATTGTGAGAAAATTCTACTACCAGTCCTTCATCACCTTACACGAAATAGGGTGAATACATCTCATTACA